TAAGGTAAAGAATAAACCATTTATTAAAACATTGTGTGATAAAATAAACTTTTTGATCCAATGCTACACTGGTAAACATTTCCCCCTCATCTAAAGTATAGTTAATTTATATCATCTGACCACAACTAGAAAATAATTCTTTTACCACTCAATAATTGTATAGTGAGGTAACTGCAGATAAAAGTTTTTTTTAATCAGTCAATGATAAAGAACGATAACTTTTTAAAAGACAATCGACATTCCATATGCCCAAAAGTTTAATTTTATTTACCCTGTTCAGTGGCCCAAACTTAAACTGCTCCTATCAAATAAAGCTTTCATTGATCACCCCCTTCTCCCTGCCAAAATAAGTGTTAGGAACAAATTAAGGATAAGAGTTGGGTTTTAAACTCACTTTATTTGCTACTATAACATGCTGTCCTTTTTTTTTTTTAGCTGATCAATAAGCATGCAAAAAGTTCTCCTCTGAAAGGAACTGCTTCCACAACTAGTACATCAATGGGAAAGTTATAAAGGTCGTTCAATTTGGAGTTCTCTCCTTTTTTATAGCACTTCTAAGCAGTGTGTGTGGCACACACCACAGAGGTAGGAAAGACCATCTTCTATAAATTATCTTCTTAATTGTGGAGAATTTCTGAAAATGAAACCGACAAAATTCTAAACCACGCCTTTAATGAGTCTGAAAAGACCATAGCTCCATTGGCTCCTTATTTGAAGAATTAATCCCCTGGAATGTTCTAGCTCTTGTAGGGCACTTGATAACAAGATCCACCAGGGCTTTGAACAACTGCACTAAGAAAGCCTTCTGCCATTCTCATTTGCCGATTCTTTGGACTACCCAGTCCTGCTGGCAGAGAGGGCAGCGATTGTTCTGTTTCACCCACAGGGACATGCAGCAATTGTGGAAGGAATGGTTACACTCTCCCCAGACCACTGAAAGAAAAAGAAGAGTTGATATTATATATTTCAATTTAATTACTAAACTCAAAATTACAGCTTAATTCATATTAACAATAATAATTATGGAGCCAGGTTTGGTGGCATTAGTCTGTAGTCCTAACTGCTCCAGAGGATGAAGTGGGAGGATGGCTTAAGCCCAGGAGTTTGAGGCTGCAGTGAGCTATGACGGTGCCACTGGATGGGCAACAGAGTTGAGACATTGTCTTGAAAAAAAATTTTTTAAATAAAAAAAATCATGGCTCATAATCTTGAAAAAATATGGTTAACTGGGCAAAATATTTTTTTCTGTCTA